CTCAGTTCAAAAGAAACTGAACCAGGTCATGAGAAAAACTGGGTCAAAAACCATGAGCTAGTTTACAAGGAAAAGCGGATCGAAAACCTAAACAAATTGACCCGATTATGAGGGAAACAGTCGAGTTTTTCTTTCCCATTCATGTTGTGACACAACACATATGTGCGCACAACATATATGCTTGTGTCCCTATTTGTCTGCCTTTGATTTGGGACATAGCCAAGTTTTTCCCTTCTACTAACTTGAGAAAATAACAGGCCAGGAAAAAATGAAATAGAATTCTCTGTTGTGGACCGCCAAACAACTAGCACAAGGCGGCCATCCTCTGTGATCAGGCTTCCGAGGAGATGCAACATCTACTCACTGACTGCCCCTTCTAGCGGCAGATTTGGCACAAAATCCTCTCCTGGTATCGGTATACCGCCACGCCCCAGACCAGACGTGGACGTTCGCAGACTGGTGGGCGTCCTCTTGCTGCCGAGGTATTTCCTCCATCATCCTCCAGCAACGGTTGTGTCTTCAACTCGCAGCAGCCCTCTGCTTCACCCCTGGTACAGTCTATCCAGGAAGATGCACACCTTTGGGCTAGGGCAACAGCCAAAGGGTTTAATATTCTTCCAAGAGTCAGGCCTTTGTTTTCCTTCGGGTTGAGCACCCCGTGTTCCGCTCTAGCTTCCAGGTTGTGTACGTGTCCCATATGATGGTACCCTTATCAAAGTTTTAAATAGCGCGCTAAGCATCTTAGCGTCGGACCTCTTTCAAATGCTATAGCGTGCTATAGCGAAGCTATAGCGCGCTATTTAAAATGTTTGTTCATTTGTTTGGACCAAAGTCTCTTAGCGCAAGACCTTTTATAAACGCTATAGCGTGCTATAGCGGAGCTATAGCGGGCTATTTGAAACAGTGACCCTTATACCTCTTCCCACTCCTTCTATCAATGCAATGATACTCTAGCTTATGCGTATTCAAGAAGAAAAAACACAAGACAAAGATACAGGCTGGGATTGTTGTAAATGTGCTGAATCCTTACTAGTAATGGATGAAGACAGATATACAAACCAGCTGGAGCGTGTTAGATGGGTATTCAAACTAGCAAAGCATGAATGCCTTTCAAAACATTTAATCTCTTCAAACAAAGATGCTCCAGAAAGAACTAAGATTTTTAGCTTAGAAGAAGTGGAACAAGCAACCAACAAACTGGGTCAAAACTGCATCCTCAGATTGATCAACATATTGTGGCCATCAGCAAGTCCAAAACAGTTCACCACAAAAGAAAAGGTCCATAATTGCCATTCAAATGAAATTTTATGATGACATGGACATACCAGTACTCGTGAATCTAATTACTGGATCAAGCGTTAGCGGTGACCAAACTAGCATGTGAGATACATAATATACCAGAGACCAACATCTAGTTTGGCAACAACACTGAAACAAGGCTTGCCATCTTGCGCCATGCAAAATCTTTGTTGTGCTGTAAGGATTAAAAAAACAATTGCCTTAAGAAGCTTTAGAACACAGAACCAAAATTCCAGTCGGCCAGCCAGTGTATAATAGAGTGCCGAGTGATAAGTAATGTAAGCCAGGACATACAAATTAATGCATTGCAGAATGGCCTATTTCCGCACTTTCTTAGCTCCAATATGTGTGCTAAATAACATGGCATCAGGATGAACAAGTTCATAACCAATCCATGGTTTATTCCCTACTAAATGATAAGATATCAGCAATCAGGAACCAAATCATCAGTTCAATCAGATTCTGCATCTAACAGGGCAGAAAAACAGCATCTAGTTAGGCCAAGTACACAGAAATAGGAAGTACCAGCTTACTATGGAGAATGAAAACTCGCACCGTCACAGTTTACCGATTTTCATAGCTCGTTCTTGGGTGATGTAATCTGAATCTTGTCGGCACTTCCCTTCGGCAGGCCGCAGCGTAGTCTTAAGCAAGGTGTGGTGCAGCTTTCATGTGAGGGCATATGTACTTCTCCATAAATACCTTCTCAATCCAAAGCAGTGCTGTATAGTAGCTATGTATGTGCGCTAGCCATCCATTTTCCTTAAGAAATTTCACAACATAGTAGCAGGGTCTGAGCCGGCCCTCGAGGCTGTAAGTGAGCATTGCCGGTCGATGAGCAATGTAGGCCGGCTCCAACTTCAACTCAGAGAGAAGGAACTCGGATCTGCGCTGCAGCATGTTCTTTGACCTGCTCAGCACAGACAGAACCTTGGACAAAGCAATGCCCACCTCAGTATCCGACCAGCTGAAGGTGCTCTTCAGGTACTTCACTTTGGCAGCAATCTTCTCCTCGCTGAGGAATGCAACAGACAGCAGAATTTTCCTAAACATCACGGAGCCAACGGGCACACCAAGACCGTCGGTTAACGCCACCACCGCCCGTATTTGTTCCGTGCTGGCGGTGAGCATCCTTGGCACAGTGGTGCACACCCTGCCAATATCGCAAGCACCTAGCGGGCACTCCTGCAATAACGCCACATTTGGCTTGACCACCCTCTCGAGGCTGTGCGAGAGGAGACCGTTGTTACGCTTCAACGCTTGGAGGAATTTCTCGAAGGATCCGAAGAGGCGCAGGTAGTAGTTCACCTTGGAGACGACGGAATTGCATCGGAAATGGTTCGCGCAGAGCAGGGCGAGGCGCACGATCTCAGACCGAGGCCGGTGAGCCCGACTACGATGGGGGACAGGGTCCTCTCCATGCCGGCGCAGAGGAGTTGCGGGTCCCTAGCAACGGCGGCGGCGATGTCATCCGTGGAGAGGCCGAGGCCGGCGAGGAAGGCGAGGACGGTGTCTGGCTTGGAGGGGGGTTTGAGGTGGGAGAGCTTCGTGGAGTCCTTCAGCGCCTGTGGTCGGGTGAGGCCGCACGTGTCGACCAGGTACTCCTCAACCACGAATCCGGTGTGTGGGGAAACGGGGGCTGCGGCGGCGGAAAGGAGACGGCAGAGAGGGTAGCGGTGAGACGTGGTGGGACAAGAGAGTAGGTGGACGAGGATGTAGCTTCGGAGGCGGAGAGTGGCGCAGGCGACGGCGTAGCTACGCCGGCGGCAAGGGCAACGAGCGCCGCTAACTGGTGCGAGAGATTTTTTTGAGGGGTAAAACGCCATTTTATTATTCAAAATCCACAGATAGTGGGATACAGTTTTGGTCATGGGGTAGGCCAAGCCAAACGTGGCGTCCTAGACCCCGACGTAATGAAAATTTAGCTAGACTGTGTCCTTCATAATTAACAGCACGACCCTCGGAAACAAAATTACACAGAAGATGAGCTGAATTGAGAATGATCTCACTAAGTATAGCACCATATCTTCCTTTGCTACCTTTGTTTATATCGGAAACGACTTGCTTGAAGTCACATACAATAACAATATTCTGGACGTTGAGATCCACAGCTAGAGCAATCCCCTCTCTTGAAGCTATAGCCTCAAGAATTGCAGGGTCATCAATACCTTCAATAACCAGCGCTGAACTGCGCAGAAATTAACCATTGCTGTCCCGACAGACAGCTGCGGCTGAACCACACCTCTTCCTTTCATTACACCCACATGTACGTGAATTTTCGCGAAACCCGGCGGTGGTGCCTTGTGTCGCTGGGGAGAAGGTGCATGAGCTGCACTAGGCTGCTGTACTGGCTTCTTCTCACTGATAATCCCCAGCTCATCGATGAATCTTTTGACAAAGGAGACGGTGGTAGTTTGCGGAGTCTGAAATATGCCTTCGTGGATAGCTTTGCGTCGGGCAGTCCAAATCGCCCAAAGAGTGACAGTGAGCAAGACAATATTCTCATGTGATAAAGATTCCATAAGTGTAAAGAGCCATTGCTTCGCACTCGGCTCGGATGTAGAACTCAAAACCTGAGCCATGTCATCATCAACGAGTGTCCAAGTGCTTCGTGATGTTGTGCAGTTGATTAAAGAGTGTGTCCATGAATCCAAAGACCAGCACAGACCGCAAGAAGATGTATCAGTCATGTGCCTATGTGCTCGGACATCTTCCATCGGCAAAGAGTGTTTAGAGAGCCTCCACAGGAACATTCTAATCTTGCTTCTGCTCCCCTGCTCGAAGAACCTGATGTACCTTCCCGTCGCTGTCTAGTGGCGACATGCATATTATAAGCTGATTTTACCGTAAAGGAACCATGCCTCTCAAACTGCCAGCTCCAAAAGTCCTGCATGGCTCGAGTACAGATTGGGATTCCCAGGATAACACGCGAATCCATCGCCAAGAAGATTTCCTCCACTCGTGCCTTATTCCATGTAGCATTAGTATGATTTACACTACTAGGAAAAAGACGATAGTTAATATGGACATTAATGACGCACCACTTATGTATATAGCAGTGGCGCATCATCTATGTGGTGCGCCACTGCTATATAGCAGTGGCGCACCATGTGTAGGTACGCCATTAGTGTCCATATCACTAATGTCGCACCACACCCACGGTGCACCACTACTAACAATTTTTTTTCCATAACTAGTAATGGCACACAAGGGCATAGTGCGTCATTACTAGTCACACTCTATGCGCCACACCACATACTCTTTTTCTTTCAAAACTAGTAATAGCACACCAGGGTATAGTGTGACATTACTATGTCAAACTTACTAATGGCGCACCTACACAAAGTGCGTCATTACTAAGTTTGATCAAGGTTTGACCAGGTCATACACATAGTAATGGCGCACTTTGTGATGGTGCGCCATTATACTACAACTAGTAATGGTGCACTATCCCCTGGTGCGCTACCGCTAACCAAATGCACCCCCGGACCGCCTTTTCAGTTTAAAAAAAATAAAAGAAAATGTCAAAAAAATAAAAGAAAATAAGTTTCCCACGTGATATGTGGTCTAGTTGTTGGAAAAATTTACAAATATGAATTTTGACTTTATTTGCAAAATCTCTCTGAAATTTAGTAAAAAGGGGCATAACTTTTGCATACGAACTCGGATTAAAAAGTTTTTTTATATGAAAGATTATCTACTCGAAAAGTTACATCCGAATTGAACCGGGGGAACGTTGTTCAAGATTTTCAGAATCCCCAAAAACCTAACAGAATAAAATATACGGGACTTTTAAGATCTTGACGGGGGGAAATGGAAAAAAAATTCAAGCTAGGTGTGCCACTAGTAACAGAAAAAAAATTGGTTTCGATTTTTTTTGAATTTTTTAAAAATATGTTACGTAATATGACCGGGAAGTTTGAAATATTTTTCAAAATTTCATCACACTCATTAACATGAACAAAGTCCTAGACATCAACAAGGTTTAATAGGATTGATATGATAGATATATCAACAAGTGACTGTTAAGTGAGCTGGTGCTGGGGTTGGATATAACTGTGAAGTTAAGTGTGCTCGGGCTAGAGTAGTGTGAGGATGGGTGACCTTCCGGGAAGTTTGACCACGGAGTGCGATTTGACTTGAGATTAAGCATATAGACTTGAGATTAAGCCGATTTGACTTGAGATTAAGCATATAGACCCGAGATTAAGCCATAGTGACCCGAGATTAAGAAAAAAACGAAAAAAAATTGAAATGACATTTTTATTTGGTCGCAATTTTGCCATGTCAGCTTGACACGGTGGATCCGACGTGGCCTGGGCAGAGAGCTAGCGACCAAAACTGAAGGTCACGCAATCAACGACCTTTTGTTTTGGTCATGGAATTCCACGACCTTCTCACAGAGAAGGTCGTTAATTTCAGTTTACGACCGCCATCTTTTGACCTTCTGTGTTTGGTCGCAAATGAAAAGCAATGACATTTCAGTTACCAATAGTGATGGTCACAAGTTGACCCCCCATCGTTTTAGTTTACTGTTATTGCTTTCTTCATGACTTATACATGTTCCTATGACTATGAGATTATGCAACTCCCGATTACCGGAGGAACACTTTGGGTGCTACCAAACATCACAACGTAACTGGGTGATTAAAAAGGTGCTCTACATGTGTCTCCGATGGTACTTGTTCAGTTGGCATAGATCAAGATTAGGATTTGTCACTCCGATTGTCGGAGAGGTATCTCTGGGCCCTCTAGGTAATGCACATCACTATAAGCCTTGCAAGCAATGTGACTAATGAATTAGTTGCACGATGTTGCATTACGAAATGAGTGAAGAGACTTGCCGGTAACGAGATTGAACTAGGTATTGAGATACCGACAATCAGATCTCGGGCAAGTAACATACCGATGACAAAGGGAACAACGTATGTTGTTATGCGGTTTGACCGATAAAGATCTTCGTAGAATATGTAGGAACCAATATGAGCATCCAGGTTCCACTTTGGTTATTGACCGGAGACATGTCTCGGTCATGTCTACATACTTCTTGAACCCATAGTGTCCGCACGCTTAAAGTTCTATGACGATCGGTATTATGAGTTTTTGTGTTTTGATGTACCAAAGGTAGTTCGGAGTCCCGGATATGATCACAGACATGAAGAGGAGTCTCGAAATGGTCAAGACGTAAAGATTGATATATTGGATGACTATGTTCGGACACCGGAAGGGTTCTGGGAGG